AACATAAAAAAAATTACATAAACATACCAAATAATTAAACACACCAAATAAAATAACATAAACATACCAAATTCAAAAAAACACACTAAATGAACTTAATTATCTTCAGCTTGTTTCAATGCCCACTGGTGCTCTATCAAGTCAATTTGTTGGGCATTGTGCATGTCTGGCATTTGAAATGCAGTATATCGTTGAATGAGCCTTTCATTGTAACGTTCATCCCTTTGTAATGGCTCATGTTGCACAGGCTCATCGGTGGCGTCATGAGCACAATATATACGTGTTCTTGAATTGTTCATCGGGTCTGACTCATATTCATCAACAGCTTCATAATCGTACTCATTTTCCACAATCATGTTGTGAAGAATGATTCACGTCATCATGATGGATTGAAGCGACTCTACATCAAACAATCTGGCAGCACCCCTGACGATCGCCCAGCGAGCTTGGAGGATACCGAAACAACGCTCCACATCCTTCCTGCACCCCTCTTGACAGCTTGCAAAGTGTTTTTCCTTTGCACTCCGCAGACGTGGCACTGTTTTGACAAATGTTGACCATCGCGGGTAAATGTCGTCAGCTAGATAGTATGGGTCGTCGTACATACGTCCGTTGACCTCATACGTAACTTTTGGTGCCTTTCCTTGCAGGACATCGTTGAACACTGGGGATTGGGCAAGGACGTTGATGTCATTTTGAGCTCCCGGGACCCCGAAAAAGGCGTGCCAAATCCATGTATCAAAAGATGCCACCGCCTCCAGAATGATACTTTTTGCTCATTTTCTGTCCCCGTAAGCGCCTTGCCATGCACTTGGACAATTTTTCCACGTCCAGTGCATATAATCAATGCTTCCAATCATCACAGGAAAGCCACGCATCTCCGCCTTCTTCAACAGCCGCTCCAAGTCCATGTGTGTAGGTTTGCGGAGGTACTCAACGGTGTAGATAGATTCGATTGCTCCGCAAAACCTCATCAAGGACTCAAGAATGGTTGATTTCCCCATCCTCGTTATCTCATCCACTTGGTATGCAGATGCTCCATATGCAAGCATCCGCAAGGCAACAGTAATTTTTTGCTCAGGCAGTAGACCCATAGCACCAAAAGCATCTTTCTTTTGCACAAAATAAGAATCATGGTTGCAAACAACAATCATGATTTTGTTGAACAAATGTCGTTCCATTCTAAAACGACGTCTAAAGTACGTATCAGGGAATGCACTATTAGGAACAAAATAATCATCCAAGAGTTTCATACCTCGTCGTTGCCTGCTTCTATCAAGGTTTCCGGAACGGCTGGGCCTGCAGATCTGAGCCGCAGCTTGGATGACTCGACGGAAATGTGAGGCTCTCCCCTTTCTTACTTCGTCATCTCTCATTTGACGCTCCTCATCCTCTTCCCTCTCATTTCTTACCCCCTGGTGATTGAACATTGCTTCTGATTCGTTAAACAATTCTTCCTCTTCCTAATTGAATTCCCACATCATCCTTGAGGAAGAAGAAGAAGACATTGTAAGAAAGAAACAGAAACTATGAATAATGATACAGATTTTTGTGAATAAGGAAGCAGAAACTATGAATAATGATAGAGATCTTGAGAAAATTGGTGTGAGATTTGTGAGGATGGATGGTGGATTATATATAGGATTCAGAAAGGATTAGGTTGTACATAATGCCACGTGGCATGCCGTCATTCGTTACAAATCTGATGGAAATCTATCCTCAAAGATTGTGAACAGATTATGACACGTGGCATGCCGTCATTCGTTAAAAATCTGATGGAAATATATCCTCAAAGATTGTGAACAGATTATGATACGTGGCGCGACGTGATTGGTTAATAATCTTATCAGAAATCCATCACCAATAATTGTATTTTCAGATATTGACACGTGGCATAACGAGTACGATTAAAAAATTTATCAGAAATCCATCCCCAATAATTGTCTTTTCTGATTTTATGACAAGTGGCGTAACGACAACGATTAAAAATCTTATCCGAAATTACAAATAAAATTATTTTGTATTATTTAATAATACTTCGGATAATGACACGTGGCGCAATGAGAACGATTAAAAATCTTATCCGATATTACAATTAAAATTATTTTGTATTCTTTTATAAATAAATAAAATACTAATATTTTATTGCCTATTGTTAGGGCTATGGAAGTGTAACGGTGGAGATGCAAATTCTATTGCCAGGGCTATTTACTGTTCATTAAGGGCAGTTACTGTTCATTAGATGGATTGAATAATGCATTGCCAGGGGGAGGGCTCCAACGCTGAAGTTGCTCTAAGTGCTTTATGTGAAGACAGTGGTTCCTACAAAGGCTATCCGGGGGGTCCTCGGTTATGACTAAACAATATAATGTTCAAAGGTATCAAATAAAAAAAGGCCTATGTTTTATGGGAAAGCTTCCATCTTACGTAGTTTTTAATGGTACGAAGTATGGGCAGTTATAATTAAAACTACATAAATCTAGTAATGGTGAAGGTTCATTTGGGAGAATAGAGTTTGTTGGGTTATTTGATTTTAGGTAGCTGTTTTGTTACTGCTATGGTTTTGAAGTTTCTGTGGGATAATCGGAGAAAGAAGAGGAGTAAGAACGGAAGTGAAACGAAGGTAGAGGTTGTGGGACCTAATATTAATGTTACGGAGCATGAAAATGAAATCTCATTTTATGACATGATATACACTTAACAAGTTATCATAATTATTAAGGAAAAATGTTGATCAACGGGTCAAAATTGATCAATAATCAAGGTTCATTTGCCGGGGTTAGCTAGATGCAATCAATAAATTGATTGCTCAAGTCATCCCAAATTCCCGATGCACCACATCCTCTGCTCACTTATCATTTCCATCATTTGAAAAAAAAAAAAAAAAAAAAAAAAACGTCTCCAGTCAAAGGGAGCAACTTACATAAAATAAGGTAATATAGAATCAGTAGAAAAGAAAGAATCGGAATTGATCGATATATTTCTCGTAACAAACGAAAAGGAAACCAAAGACAAAACATAAATCGTGGATCAATTAAGCCTTTTCTGAGACTATGTTTCAGTCTAATAATACATTTACGTGTGAAGAAAAACTTGCACATAAAAATACATAATTAGACCTGAACACTATAAGATAACAAACCAATTCATGTATGTCATTCTCCCGATCAAGACTTAGTGTTATAATCTACGTGTGGTAAACATTACGTGCCAATTTAACGTCACACATGGAAAAATTAATCGATCAATGCCAAGAAGGATGTGTGAGAGACTTTCTCATAGGTGTGTGAGTGCTTCCAATTCTGTCAACTCGCTCTACTACCAGCCCTAGCAGTGGCTAGGGTTGGGGGCATCCTTTTTTCTTCTTCTTCTTTTGTCTCTCTCTTCCCTTCTCTGTGGGACTGGCTTTCTCCATGTTTTCCGATCCGTTTTTCTTAATAATCCACCCCCTACGACTTCTGATCTAACCTTTCATCAATCTCAATCCGAAAGTCCCACTTCCAACCTTCTTTTTTCTTGTTCTCCCTTAAGTTTTTCCACCTCCATGACTCTAATCCAGCCATTTTCTAACTTTTCCATTTGCTTATGTCCTCTATCGTTCTCACACATGTCCTATTCTGCAACCATATCTTCCACCCATGTTTTGCGGCTTTCTCAGAAGGTGTGTAGAGCTTCGGCTCATATGGTGTACACACCACCACCTTCCAATTGTATGCCATTTTCGGCTTTGTTGCTGGGAGAAAGTTCTTTCCCTCTGGCTTCTTTCTTTGATGGCTACAGTTTCAATTTGTGTGGTGCTTGGTGGAGGAAGATGGAGCCTTCTTCCTTGGGGCTGTGTTTGGTGAGATCTCTGGCATAGGATGTTGGATTGTGGCCGGCGGCAGGTTCTTCGACGGTGGCGAAGGAAACTACTCTTTTAGGGTTTTTTTTGTTTTGGGCTCTTCTCTCAGGTTGGGCTTTTGTTTAGTGTTTGGGGTTCACATTTTGTATTGTGTTTACAGTGTATTTGGGCCCCTTTGTATGTACTTGTACTCTCTTGGTAATGAAAATTACCTTTGACCGAAAAAATAAAAACCTTTGGGCTTGGACCAAGAGTTTTAGCCCTGCTTTCACATTGCGGGTCCAAACGAGTTCAGCCCATAATCCAAAACCAAACAACCAGCGCATACGCCCACAAAGCACCACAGCCGATTGAAAAAAAAAAAAAATGTCGCAAACTGTTGAGAGTCTGAAATTTTATTCGAACCCTACTTATGCATCTCTACACCCAACTTATAAATTTTCTTCAACGAACTTCCAATTTTGCCCTTAATTAATAGCAGATAAAATTTAGATTAGACCTAAAACCCACAAACATCAAAAAAGTTTTTTATTCTTATCTCTACACCCATTTCATACATTATGGTGAACCTAGCACAAGAGCTGGCGACAATTCCCCGACATTTTCGACAGCCACCGACCCACCATACCTCTCCACTGTGATCATAGAGTAAATCAAGCTTGGGGATGGGAAGCATTTGTGCAAGAAGAGCTAAACCTGCTGCTAGCTAGTGCTAAATTTCACATATCAAACAGCAAAGGAAGATTCATAAAGGCTAGGTATGGTGATGATGATGATTATATTGAACAGAACGAGAAGATCTTGACTCTAGACAAGAACTTTTCTCCGCAAATACTCTTCGTCTGAGGTCCTTGAAAAACAAGGGTGAGATTGAAGTTAAGCATATTTATGAACAAGAGTTATTGAATCCCCAAAAACTGAAGGAAATTCAAGAAACAAAAGAAAAGGAAAAAGAGGTGAAGGGGAATGGTGACCATCGACAATGTTGGTGAAAGTGTAAGCAGTGTCTGAGTTGAGTTTCCATGAATAAATGGATGAGTGTAGAGATAAAAATAGTGTTTTGTTGCTCGGGGTTTTAGGTTTTAATATAATTTTTTATTACATATTTAAGGGCAAATTTGGAAATATGATAGATAAATTTTATAAGCTGGGGATAGAGATACAACTTACGGGTTTGAATAAAATTTCGCTTCAAAGTTTCAGACTTTTTGTCTTCCTTTCGAAAATCAATTTTAATAAATAATAAAAGCAAGCTGCCTTGGGATGAGCAAAAGCCCACCTTAGCCTTCTGCTGACATCACTATTTCCATCGTCTCCTGTAAGTTATTTCTTGATCAGAATTTCACAATTTTAATGGTGAATTAAAAGCGTTTTTAATCAGTTTTTGCTGTTTTCTTTTTCCATTTTTTTTTCACTTTTTCTTGTAATTTTGAGTGATTCAGTTGGAGGAGAAGGTCACTATGGCGTACAAAGAGCAGAACCCAGGTGCCATCTCTCTCTCTCTCTATTATTTTCTCAAATTTTGTTTCTTTTTTACTTTAATTTTATTGTTTCAGTATTGTTCATATAGTTGCTGAGGAAGTTATGCAATTGAAAATTAAATTAACAATTTGAATATATTATCAGTTATGTTAATTATTGTTAATTTTTAAAATTTTACTGAATAATTTGCTGGTGGAATTCAGTTCGTGGTGGTATTGATTGAATAAAACCAGGAGAGTTGTTTTTATGATTATAATTTAATGAGTTGAATAAATTTATGGTCTATGAAAGAAATCATGGTTCTTGCAAAATTAGTTACGGTCTAATTTGTGTGAAAATAATAATTGTGGTTGTTAACTTGAGCAGCAGGGATTGCTCAACCCACAACTGAGGGTCAGCAAGATGCTGGGGATGAGCCCCCCAGGCAAAGCTCTACACCGTCGGTGTTTGTGAATTCCGAACCAATGAGGGAGGAACAAGTGCAAAATGCTGTTAAATTCCTTTCGCACCCGAAAGTTAGGGGCTCTCCTGTTGTTTACAGACGGTCTTTTCTCGAGAAGAAGGGGCTCACAAAAGAAGAGATTGACGAAGCGTTTCGGCGTGTGCCTGTAAGTGAATTGATCATTCGTATTCAAGCTAATTGTTAAGTCTCAATGTTTTTCGTGTTTGACGTTGTCTGTTTGCAAATTGAAGGACCCACCTTCAGGAAATCAAGGTAACACCGTCACAAAAACCTGATATTTTTTTATTTGACCTGAGTTTGTCAATTGTTTATGTAACTTTGGTTTTATATTTTCTTGTAGCAGATGGACAGGTGAAGACATCGTCAAATGTTCAGGCACAAAATACAACTCAAACTTTGCAGCCTTCCGCCGCTGCTCCCACTAAAGCAATTTCCCCTGTGGGTACATTAACTGGGTATAGATTTCACTGGTCTCATGCCATTGTTGCTGTAGGAGTACTGACACTTTCTGGTTGTGGAGCAGCTGTACTAATTAAGGTATTCGTACTCAACCTTCTACAATCATGACGTGTTAATTTTGTCCATCATGTTATATTGCTTTTATATGCTTCTTGGCACAGTATCTCATAAAACTTCTGTCGCCCGATTGCTGTCTAATAACACGTTCCTTGTTTTAGAAATCTCTTATTCCTAGATTGAAGGCTTGGATACGTAAGGTTGTATTGGAAGATGAGAATGATGTTAAGAATAAAGTTGACTCGAAACCAAGTTTGGCAGAAGAAGCTGCGGCAGCTGCTAAAACAGCCGCAGCCGCAGCATCAGATGTGGCAAAATTCAGCCAGGAAATGCTGAATTCTAAGACTGAAGGTGCGATTGTGATCCTCTCGTACCAATCATCTTTTAACCTATTTCTATCTTGATTGAATTTATTTTTTGTTATCATTATTGTTTTGATTTTCCCTTCTTTATACTGATGAGTATTACCTTTTCACGATTGCTGCGGTTTATACTTGGGCCAGAAAGGAAATACTTCGTGGAACTCATGAGTTTGTTAGATGTGCAAGTGCAAGAAATGAAGTCAATGAGTAATTCCATACGGAAATTGGAAGGTACAGGAAATACTTTATTTGTTCAATCAAGTGGCTATAATTGATTTCTCCCCAAAAAACAGTCACATCATCATTTGTTTGCAATCACAACTTCTTGTTTACAAAATTGGAATTTGATGATGATTATTTGATTATCCCATCTTTCTGCCTAACCATCAGGAGAAACAAAAGCCTCGAGAACCTCTCTTGTTGATCATGAAGACAATCGCATTGCTATCACAAATTCAAAGGTCAGCTGACAGCAGCACAAATTTGATATTCTTATTGAAATGGGAAAGCCTTAGATAATATGATATCCAGATCTATCCAACAGAAGGTTTTTTTTTTATAACTTTTTTACCATATATCTGTTTTACAGCAACAGTATGTGAATGGCAAGGCAGAGTATGACGTGCGCTCAGGTTATTATTTTCTAATCAGTTGTCAAATTTCTAATTGTTTAATCTTTCTAACGTATATTGATTTCTGCTTCGTATTGTTACAATTTTCTGGACAGTGCAATCTTCCTCAGCTGCTGCATCTATGGAACCAGCACCTCATCCAAAGTCTTACATGGATGTAAGTAAATTTTATGGCCTTTTCATTGCTCGGAAATGTTTTTAAAAGAAGTAGTGTCTATTATTGAGAGCTTTTCTTTTATCCTATAAAACCCGTTTAATGTTTAAGGGATGCAGTGTTCTTAGAACATATAAAGTTGATGTGGTTAAATAAGCTGGCACAAAATACTATGTTATCTCTCAATTTGAGTTTGGATAGTCATCCAGGGACAGTCATTAGATGCAAAGAGCTCGTTTATGGGGATTTATTACTAAGAGTAGCCAAATTTAAGGTAAATTTAAGGTAAGGTAAGAATTTGTTACTAAGAGTAGCCAAATTTAAGGTAAGAATGGATGAATCGTAGATGATTCAGGAGGCCTAAAAGATTATAAGTTGTCGAGGTTGAAAATTATCTTTCATGCACTTTGAAATTATCTAACCTGTTGCTTGTCTGGTAGTCTTTATCATTCCATCTGCAAATTGAGTTTGCAGATTATTCATGTAGTCGTTGTAAGTTTATATTTGATCTTATGTTTGGTCATGTCTATGGCTCCATGGTATTATCACTTACGTGATAACTTCTTGACCGCTTATTTAACTTTTACTATAATATTGCAGATCATGGCCATGGTACAAAGAGGGGAGAAACCTCCCAATGTCAAAGTAATCTCTCGCTTTTTTTTTTTTTTCCTTTTTTTATCAAAATCATTTCTTTCTTTTTTTTGCTTAAATGCTAATTGTTCTTCATTCTGGATGATGTGCAGGACATTGATGATTTTCCCCTGAACCCTAATCAGCAACTATCAAATCCTCGCTTGGTACCTAGGGCTAAGGTATTGCTTTTGAGAGCTTTTCACCTTCCCCTCTTTCTCCTTTCAGTAAAAGGAAACAGAAACGGTTATGGACTAACATAGACTCATTGAGTGCATTAAGCAATTTAGCTATAGAAAATAATAGTCTCCACCACCAAGGCCAGTTATTTAAAATTGGGCTACCAACTTTTGGTTTCCCCGGTTGGTTAAAGCTAGGATTCGAAATTGACTCGCTCCTGATTAGGAAACTGTTTTTTTTTTTTTTTGTCAAAGATTAGGAAACATTGTTGGATCATTTGCAGCATGTCTTTCAAAATCTGGATTCTGGACAAAAAGAAAATGGTTTCGTTTTATCATTCCTAAATATTATCATGGAATGTTACCAGAATTGGTTGTAAGCTTTATGAAATTATAGAGAGATTTATTCGACTCTTTTAAAAGTTTTAGTAAGTGTAATAAAAATTCAGTTTTCATGCTTTGATACATGGAGATGATTGGTACTATATGTTTTCTTGGGTAGCCTTGGGAAGTTGGTCAGGCCCAAAACAACCCGAGCCAAGTGCTTCAATCTCAAGTAAGCAGTAGTTTGAATTCCAGCATTCAGGACAATGGGCTCAATTATCAGTCAAAAGGTGACAGTACAGTGTCATGGTGGCAGCAGCAGCAGAAAAATTCCAGAATCACCGAGATAGAAAGTGAAGTCAATGGAGGGTCGTATGGTGTACGAACTAGTGAGCAACCAGTTCAGCGTACATGGGTTCCTCCCCAGCCACCCCCTGTTGCAATGGCAGTAGCAGCTGAAGCTATCCGACGGCCAAAACCATCAGTGCAGAAAGAACAGCTAGGTAACGATCTGCCCATTGCACGCCCATCAGAAGCGACCAATGGCCCATCAGAAGCGGCGGATGAGTTGCAGAGGGTAACAAAAATAGCTGAATCTGGAGGTGAATCGAAGCAAATCAATGGAAGTTCACCGCTGAACTCGACTACTGAGATACAAGAAGAGGAAGTGAGTTATTAGTAGTAATGAGTTCATTTCATTGAACACCTTAATCATCTCAGGTACTGTATATCTACGTCCGTTATGTAAAATTGCTCAAGAAATACATGTATATTTCTGTTCTTGAACATCCGTATTCACGAAGCCATCAGCTTCATTTCGTTAATGTTATATTGACACTGCATTTCTGGTGCAGATTTCTTCTCCTTCGGAAACCTACCTGAAAATCTTTCAAAAGTTAACTCAAGAGTTACAATAGTAATATGTGCATGGATGAGATGAGAGAGCAGAAGATGTTGACGTATAAAATAAGTTGCCCAAAGGCTGAACCTAAAGTTCTTTTTCCAAAAGCTGTATTTTAGGCTTTGGTGGTGGTTACTCTTCTGATAAATTTGTTTATGGAATATTATAAATAAATAAATAATGTGCATGTTGGTGGTTATTTGCATTCAAACGTGCTCAATCCGAATCCCGTTTGGTGATGCTTTTTTAAAAATCACTTTTCCTCATAAACACTTTCAACGGTTTTAGTTTTGATTCTATTCCCATACTAAACTGCACCGTATTGTGTCCACCCCACATCAAACAACTTGATCATAGATATCACTCGGATATGTATGCATGTTAACGTACCTTTTGAGTTAATATCTTGTATAAATGTACTGTGCAAAGAAATACGTGTGTTTAGACAGGAGTTACGAAATTATCACCATATGAAATTTGTGAAACGCGCGTTTTGGTCACATGGAAACTAAGGAGCCTTCGAAAAACTTGAAGTGGAGTTTGTAGAGTTGGACACTTCTGGCCGTCCATTTCTTATTGATAATTTATTTAGAGTCTTTTATCTAAAATAATCTTTTAAATTAGCATAACTGCTCAATGTGGTTTTTGATAATGAAAATCGATGGAAGTGGTATATAAGTTTGTTTATTGTAAATCATTTTGATTCTTCCGTGAATATTGATAAATTATTCAAAGAAAGACCAAAATAATGTACGATTAACAAACTCATAAACCACTTCTATCGATTTTCTTTTCATGATTTTTGGTGGGTCTAGCTTTTTTATGGTAGTTGCCAATTTTCTGTGGAATTCTAACAAAGAAAATTTGGTATTAATTTCAATTGCACACGCATGAAATAGCACTATATACCCCTCAGTGCCCTCACCATTATGATCACCACTCACCAACATCTCTCATCTTGTACACCTATACACATCCTAGAAATGAAAACTAGTGTAGCCTCGTTTGATAATTATTTCGCATTTTAAAATTATCTTGTGTTTAATTTTTTTTGTTTTTCTTGATAAAACAAGGTGTATTTAAACAAGATGAATTTGGATCTTTGCCGAATCTGAATATTTGTAATCACGTTTATCTTGAACATAGTGACTAATATAAAAACTTATTGCGGGTTGTAGGATCCAATAAGCATTTAGTAACTTGTTTAACTTCTTGTGATAAGGCATCTACTTTAACCTCAATACTTCAGATACCTTAATCCTTTTGACCTAACAAGAAAATAAAGGGAAAATGGGATCAACTCAAGTCAGCTATTTCGAATGAGGATCCTCGCCGGATCCTCTTTGTGAGGATCCTCGCCGGATCCTCTTTGTGAGGATCCTCGCCGGATCCTCTTTGTGAGGATTCCGGAGATCCTCAAATTACATATTTTCATCGTACATCATACGGTAAAAAATTATTGTAATTTTTTTATTTAAAATTAAATATAAACAGTACCCGAAGAAAATTAGTTACATGATGTACGATAAACAAATGTGATTACAGGATCTCTGGGCTCCTCACAAAGAGGATCCGCCCAGGATCCTCTGTCATCTATTTCTACCCTTTAAAGTTTGGACTGGCCCTACACTTAACAATTTATCTTCTTTTTCAATTTCATCGTAGAGAAATCGTGTATGAATAAAGAGAAATGTTAACGACACTTTCTATGGATTCTCTGTCACTTCATATTTTAACGTGTATAAATATTGTGTTAAAAACATGAAGTAGCAAAAAATTCATAAAAAAATCCCGTTTTTAAGAGTCTTTTTAGTATTTCACAAATCTAGCACAGTAATAAACACAAAAATAGAAAGGTTTTGATAAGCCTTCCATTTCAAATACAAGAGAATACAAACTACAATTATACAAAGCAACAATTCCCTCTTCGGAATCCACATGAAATGTTTTGGATGGATTATAGAGGAATATCATCAAATGTTGCAAACAGCATACTCCCAAGTCCCCATCCTATCCAAATAATAATATGCTAACTTCTAAACGGCGTCGTATGCTAAATGAAGGATCAAATTTTCCCACGAAAATGGTAATTACAGTCCACCAGAAGAGGCTGATTCCGTTGTCGTCCCCATCCTACACATCGTCCTTATTCATCTGTCAACGCCTCACTTCCCATGTTTTGATTATTTATTTGTTTTATTTTTTTTACTAATATTGTTAATTCAAAATAATTTATTAGGAAAGAAAGAAAACCAATTTACTATTATTAGAAAACCCACTACAAATTTGACTATAAAGCTCTGCAATTTCCAGCACCACAGAAAAATTGGCTCAGAGGGTTCTCTTCTTTTTGTTCATTTATCTCAAAGATTATTGCTTTTTGTTGATTTGGATCCAAAAAGTTTGAGTTTTGATTGGATTGGATGGCTCTCAATTTGTTATCTCCAGCTGAAATCAAAGCCATCTCTTTCTTGGATTCCACCAAGTCCAGCTGCCACCTCCCCAAGCTTCCTGGTAGCAGTTACTGTGCTTCTCTTGCTTTCAATTTTCTGTTTGGTTCCCGAGAAAACTAGCAAGATGGAGACTTTTTTCTTTTTCTGGCTTTCCAGAGTGCATGCTGACATTACTGCTCAAATGGGTCACTGTGATTCTGTGATTGTAAAGTGATGAGGTCCATCTGCTTTTTTGTAAAATTAAAAGTTCATATGATGGAGTGGATATATGTGCTTTTTTCTTTAAATTTTACTTGCATGAGCTCTGAATTTTGATGATGTAATCACTGATATAATTATAATTTTGTTATTATTTAGCGTTAGCTTCTTGATTAATGTTGTTTTATGGGTATACCATTTTGTTTATTAATGTTGTTTCAGAATTCATGATGTTTTGTTTGTTGAAACATAGGGGGGTTTGCTTTGAGGAGGAGAGATTGCGGAACTGTAATTGGGAGAAGAGTTCAATGCTCGGCTGCACAGACACCTCCTCCAGCTTGGCCTGGACGTGCCGCGGCGGAGACAAGCCGCAGGACTTGGGACGGTCCCAAGCCTATTTCGATCGTTGGATCTACCGGTTCCATTGGAACCCAGGTATCGAAAAGATTGTTTCTTTTCTTCTAAAATTGTCTATTGGAGATTAAGGATACTAATATACTAGTAAGACCTGTATGGAGTTGTTAACAGAATTAAATTGATAGAAGGTTGGAAGATCAAATATTGAAATAATATGATTTACTTCATTTGTGGGAGTTGTATCTTGCTGTATAAGCATCACTTGAATCAGAGCTGTTTTTCTTTCTTAAAGGAACAAATTTTGGGAATCACTTTAGTTGATTATGATCGGATTCTGTTGTTTATACAGACATTAGACATAGTGGCGGAGAACCCAGATAAATTCAGAATTGTGGCGCTGGCAGCTGGTTCAAATGTAACTCTTCTTGTGGATCAGGTAATCCATTTGATAAATAACAGTTCCTAGAACTTAAAAGGATTGTTCATCCCAACTTACGGGTAAGTATTGAATTTCGAGTAGACACCCCACAAATTCACCCTGATATTTTAGCTACCAACCCAAGTAAATTGGGGTTCCGGATTGATATTTCTTATCTACGTAGCTTGGGGTTGAGAATCCATTTTTTGCATTGTACAGGTGAGGAGATTCAAGCCCCAGCTTGTTGCTGTTAGAAATGAATCACTAGTTAATGAACTTAAAGAGGCCTTGGCTGATTTAGATGAAAAGCCCGAGATTATTCCGGGCGAGCAAGGAGTTGTTGAGGTAGACTATCATCTAATTGCCCTTGGTTGATGAATTTTGTTTTGTTCATCTTGAAGGAATTGCTCATATTTCTCTTCTCAGGTTGCCCGCCACCCAGATGCAGTCACAGTAGTTACAGGAATTGTAGGCTGTGCAGGACTGAAGGTAATTGCTTTGTCATTGAAGTTATAAGGGTCAAATTTTTTTTTGAAAAGAAGCTATATGTATAACTTTTGAAATACATAATTTAGGAACTGAAAGACAAGGGAAGGTTGACGGGATAGCAAAGTTGGCTAACAAATTATAATGACTGATGATTTATAACGAAATTGAACAAATGTATTTTCAGAAAAGAAAACAGTATTTGACTTACAAATGAATATAAATTAGGAGACCTAATTCTCGTGTTACTTTTTTATCTTAGCCTACAGTGGCTGCAATAGAAGCAGGGAAAGACATAGCATTAGCCAATAAAGAGACCCTGATTGCTGGAGGTCCTTTTGTTCTTCCTCTTGCTCACAAGCATAATGTGAAAATTCTCCCTGCTGATTCAGAACATTCTGCGATTTTTCAGGTACGAAATATTTATTCATCTTGATAGCTAAAAATCTGTCAGATAATTTATGTACTAATAATGGATATATCTGTTACATACATTATTATGTTTGTATTACAAAGCAATATTACATTACGTGATGCACTTTATTTTAATGCTTGCCAGATCATTTTATATTGGTGACTATTATGTCATAGTGAAGCTTCATGAATTCTCCTTTTTTCAGTGTATCCAAGGCTTGCCAGAGGGTGCGCTTCGGCGTATCATTTTGACAGCGTCCGGTGGGTCATTCAGGTATGAAATCATAATCTGAGTTGGAATATGAAAGCTGAGTAGGGATATTCAACTTTCTTACTTAGAATATATAGAAAGGGGTTACCTATCAATGTTAGTAGGAATTTATCATTTTCCTCAATTATTTTATTTGATCTTGCCCATATTTTTTGCTTTTTCTCTAAAAGTTTTTCTTGAAAGAAAAAGCATTTAAATAAGAAATACTAAAACATAATTCAATCATCAATTTCGCATAGGATGTTCCTGTATTCAATTTCAAGTTCACTTTTAATAGTGATTTACTTTTGTTGTAACATCTTTCTGAATGATTTAGTTTCAGTCATTAGTGACTATGCGAAATTAAAAGAAGTTAAAGTTGCATAGGGAGGATATTGACAATTTCTCACTCCGATACTGACAGGGATTGGCCTGTTGAGAAGTTGAAAGAAGTTAAAGTTGCTGATGCTCTGAAGCATCCAAACTGGAATATGGGAAAGAAGATTACTGTTGATTCTGCGACTCTTTTCAATAAGGTTTGTTATCGTCTGTGTTCATGTTGAAGCCGTTTATATGGAAAGCACCATATTAGAGCTGAATATTAAGTTCTTTGTACTCATTGACAGGGT